CTTCCATCAGATTTCTGGTAGTTAGGTCGGGACTATACTAGATGGCCACTTTTGGCTGCAAGAGAAGTCGAGAAAAATGTGGGCAAGGGAGAGGGAATTTGGAAGTATATCTTCACAAAGCTAACTTATTATTTCTGCCACAAAAGCTAGTAGCTGAGAGATGATGAGGACCTGAGACAGGTTAACAGTGATAAAGAAGAAGTGGATATTGTTGCCATTAAGTGAAACTGAAAACTCAGAAATTCTGAGTAATAGATCTAGTTCTCCTAGATGTGGGCTTGAAGTGTTATCTCAGGGAGATACTCAGCAGGGAACTGGCTATAAGTTCAAAACTTAAGTGAAGACTGAGGGTTGAGGATTTATTTGAAGGTTGTGGGAGGTGAGGCCATTAGAGGAATCAAGACACCCAAGGACAGCAAGGAGAGAGAAGAGCCGTAGGCCATGATATTGCCATATTTTTAGATACTGGAGGCAGAAGACAAGTACCTCATAGAAGATACCATAAAGAAATGGCCAGAGAAGTGAAAGGAGTGGAGGATGCCTAGAAGTGAGTGGTCAGTAGATTCAACATCTATTTGCCACACTGTGGAGCAAATGTGTTTTCATTCTCTTGATTAAAATAATGGGAAGTGTCATCATTCTTGAAGTCTTGGTATTTATAACATAAATATAGCCACAAACAAATGTAACTATGGAGAGTCTGAGGTGTATTGGCAAAAAGGTCCAATAAGATAAAGACTAAAAGGTACCCATTGGGTTTGGTAGTGTGATTAGAATGATTTCACTGTTGGTCTTTGCCTGGGCAGTCCAGTGATGGAGGTGGAAAGATTATTTTTGTTGTGGATTGAAGCAAGCAGCAAGAATAAATCCCTTTCCCGTGGAGGTGCTCAAAAATAAGAGAAATAAAACTAAGCTAACAAGGAAGTAGGATTTTTTACTGGTAAGACTGGGATGTATTTAGAGGCAGAGGGGAAAGGGCTAATAGGAAAGGGCTGAAGATACAGGAGACATCACTGCTAGGAGAAAGGCATAATCGTGATTGGCTTCCACCAATCTTAGCTCATCTACTGGGGCTAAGAGAGGAGCACAGCACTCCTAGGCTTGCTGTACGTTTTACCTGAACAATATGGGGTTTCTGAAACCAAGGAATAAAAGGGTAATGCTGTTGGGAAACTCAATAGTGTCTGCTACACCAACCCTCTCTCTGCTTAAATATGTCGTGGCAAAATTGCATCTGCAGTGATTCATTATCAAAAGATTGAAAGGCTCATATTGCACATTTAAATACTTACTCCATGGTTTTTCTTAGCCTTAACCTAATTTTAATTAAACCTGAGTCTGTGAAGACATGCTAATTTGCTCAAATCTATTTTTTTCTACATACTAGCACACCCACCTTGGAATTTAATGGACACTAAAATTATGCAAAGAATTGCTGTGCAACAAGAACTGGGATATTTTCTGCCAAGACCACCTCCAATACAAACATATACACACACCAGTCTGTGTTATACATAGAATTTGCTCTTGAATACCAACATCTATTTGCCACACTGTGGAGCAAATGTGTTTTCATTCTCTTGATTAAAATAACAGGAAGTGTCATCATTCTTGAAGTCTTGGTATTTATAACAGAAATAGAGCCACAAACAAATATAACTATGGAGAGTCTGAGGTCTATTGGCAAAACATCTGGCACCATCCCTGGTTTCTGATGAAAAGTGTTGCAGCTAAATAATTGTACTTCTCAAGCAATGCTCAGATCCTTGAGGACCCAACTGTGAGGACCCCACCCAAGAGGGCTAAAAACTGGTACAGAAGTCCTCTGTGACATCTAGCCTGAAAGGGGCCTCTGCCTCTTCAGCCAGTCTGGCAGGTCATGGAAATTCTACTCTTGCAAAGGGAGCTGTGGATACAAGAGAAGTGTTTCTTCAGTATTTACTTTGACCAGTGAAATAGCTATGACAGATTTTTTTCTTTTCCCCAAGACACAAAGTGACATTTTAAAGGAGAAACTACTCTTGGTGCCATACAGTCTTTTAAAAATAATATTAGAATAAAGGCTCAAAGGAATGTCTCCATAAGCACAGCTGTCCAAAGCCTCTATTTCAAGGAGAATTCAGCCATCTTATGCAGACAGGGAAACAAGACTGCTCATTTTAGTTCCTCGGATCTATTTGTTTGTACTCAGATAGCATCAGATTCAAAACTAGTGACACCCTCTTGGATCAAGGGCTCTTTTTGCCTGTGTTGCTATTAAATGCATGCTACATTGTAACATTGCTTCTCTTTTCATATTTATGCTCTGTTTTCCCAACCAGATCATACACTCTTTGAGGTCAGGGCCACATCTTGTACTCCTTTATTTCTTGCAGAGTTGTGTTTATCATGGTAAACTTGTAGGAAATCATTGTCGAATGAATGAAAGAATGACAAAAACTGGAGAGCAGTGGTAGGTGAGTTGCTAGGCAGCCTGGCAAAGAGGATTACAAGAGTCAGGTCTGATTAGCAGGAAAGGTGGTACAGGAGAAAGAATGTTGCATTTTGAGCCAGCAGACATGGGTCCTAGTCCCAGGCTGGCTTGCTTGTCTTCACTCATTCAACAAACATTTCTTACACTTCTAATGGGCCAGGCAGGCATTGTGGCAGCCACCAAATAAGACAGAATCCCTGCCCTCAAAACGCCATAGTGGTGGTGAGGGGGACATGTGGAGATCAGGATTATAAAAGGAGATATGTGTCATAGACGATATGATCATGGGCACACAGAAACAAGGAGAAGGGGCATCTAAATCAAACCATGGTTTCCAGAAACCCTCCTGAAGGAGTGGGGTTTGGGTTCAAGTCTTGAAGGATGAGTAAGTTTTGGCTTGAAATTGACTGGGAAATCTCACTGTAGATAAAAGAACTTGCATGTGAAGATGTTCTAAATCATAAAGTAGGATGTTGCATTTGAGAACTAAATTCTCAGCTGAAAGGTGGCTGTGGTTAGAGACCTAGGCTAAAGCTACTTTTCCAAGGGCCTTGACACAATATAATTTAGTGGTTAGGAGTAGAGGTTTAGAGATCAGAAAGAACTGGGTTCAAGTCTCAGCTCTGTTACTTAGCAGCAATGTGATAATAACTAATTTTTTAAAAACCCCTCTAAGCCTTAATTTCCTTAAAACAGTGTCTGGCTGTATCAGCTATCTATTGCTGCATAACAAATTATCCCAAAACATAATGGTTTAAAATATTAGTAATAAAATATTAATAACACAGGCTGAGTTATCAGCCAACATGGCACCATGTTCATCAAAGTCAATGACAGAGTGTCTGCTAGCAAGACAGAGTCACAATCTTATTTAGCCTGATACCATTGAAGTGACATCTTTTCACTGCTGCCACTCTGTTAGAAGTCACATGTCAGTCCACACTCCTGGAATAGGGATTATGCAAGGGAGGGAACACCAGGAAATTTGGATCATTGGAGACCATCTTAGAGTCGGCCTGCCCCAATAGCTTCTGACTTAGTAGCACTGAACAAATGTAAATTACTATTATTGTTAGCTGATTTAGGAAAAATTACAGGGGCCAGTGAAGAATTTTCTATCAGCCAGTAACTTTAGGTGACCCTGGGCAAGTCAAGTCATCTAATGTGTTTGAGCCTTCATTTCATCCTCAGCAAAATGAAAATACCTGACACCAGAAAGAACGAGAAAATATATGTGCAAGCATAAAGATATTTTTATATAACAGCAAATACACAACTCTCCACAGTCTGAGGGAGCAAACCGCTTTGGGCCAGTTTTTTCCCATTTTGTGTTTATGCTTGTGAGTCTCACAGTCTAATACTGTCAAGGTTTTTAGCGTTTGGTCAGGATCCTGCAGGCCCACAAGAGTCTGTAAAATTGGAATAAACACCTACAAAGAGAAATCTGTCTTTCCAGTGTTCCTTAAGGAATTTTCAAGGGTTCGTTTTCTCCTTTCTTTTTAAATACCATTGCTTCTAAGGACCCTATGGGGGGCCTGAGAGAGAAAACAGACTGGGAAATTTCAAGATCGAGATAATAAAAATGGTAATAAAATCTCATCCTGCTCCTGAGGCTTCCCAGAGGGGATGTTTGGGGTGGATGGGGTTCCCCTCTCCTGCGCAGCTGGCTTAGCGGTCGGGGCTTCCATCCTGCGGCGCAGCTCGGGTTACCAGGCCGGCGAGGGCAGCCCCGACGGGGCGGGCAGCGGGCGGGAGCCCAGGGCTCCCCCGACGGGGCGGCTCGCCCGTGTCTGCCTGCTGCCCTAACGGAGCGGATCACACACAGGCGCGTTTCATGCTCGTCCCTGCCGCGGTTTCCCCGGGGAAGGTATTTTCAGAGGGAGGCGGGGCCCTCCCCCGCCGCCAGCCTCCGGGAGGGGTCGGAACTCGGGCGTCCGTCCCTCCCGCTCCGGACAAAGGCGCGCTTCTTCTCCGGGCGCCTCTGGGCGCAGCGAAGCGGCCAAGGAGACTGCGACGACGCCCCTTTGCTCCTCGGACCGAGGGCCCGGCCTTGGGGGCCAGGGTCGCCCGGGACCCCAGGACAGGGTGCAAACCTCACGCCCTAACTGCAGCTCCCGCCCCGCCCCGCCAGCCCGTCGGGCCGCACCGCGCAGCCAGCGCAGCACCGGCCGCCGCGGGGGCCCTGCGCGCGGAGTCGCCTCCCGCAACGCGGCCGCCCTCCGACCTTGCGGGCCGCCAGCTCCCGGGGCTGGGGGCGGCTTGCGGGGCAGCGGGCAAGGGAGGCGGGCCCACGGAGCTCTCAGGAGCGGAGTGGAGGAGGAGCGACTCGGAGCGCCAGCCCGCCGCTCCCGCGACCGCTGCCTTAGAAAACTTAACGAGAACCAGATGTGGTGGCAGCTGCCGAACTTTCTCAGAGCCGGGGATTGGTCGCCGGCCGAGGGCCGCAGCCAACCAGCGCGCTGGGCAGGCCTGGAATCCCGCCCCGCCTGGGCGCCCGGGGTTTCAGGTTCGAGGCTGGCGCGGCGCGGCCAGTGGGCAGGCGCGCGGGCGGCCGGGCCGGGACGCGCTCTGCGGCGGGGCAGCCCACGGGCCGAGCGAGCATGCGGGGGGACCGGGCGGCCGGGCGGCCGGCGCTGCCGTCGCCACCTCTGCTGCTGCTGCTGCTGTCGCGGGTCGCGGCGCTGCACCCGGGCGAGCTCTTCCCCCACGGGGAGTTGTTGGGGGACCAGCTCCTGCTGGAAGGCGACGACGAAAGCTCAGCCGCGGTGCAGTTGGCGATTCCCTTGCGCTTCTACGAAGCCCAGTTCAGCACCCTCTACGTAAGTTCAGCCCCCTCCGGCTGCGCGACTCGGCACTTTGCTCCCAGGGGTTGATACAGGGTCAGTCTCACCGACGCTTGCCCTCGGAGGGGAGGAATTAGTCCCCAGCCCCGGTTGTCCTCCAGCGCCCCTGTGGTGGGACCCAGCGAGGAAGAGATGCTGCTGCCTGACCGGCAGCTGTGAGGAGCAAGAATTGTTCGCAGCCACTTACGCGTCCCAGGCAGGAAAGGTGGTGGCGTTGCTAAGGTGGCCACTGGGGTCTGCAGTTAGGACCGCGAGAAGGCTGTGCACGTCTGCAGAGATGGGGTGTTCCCTCCTCGGACCAGCAGGCTTTCCCCCCAGGGACATGGGGCTCCCGGGGTGTTCGGGGGTGAGAAGATGGGTGAGGAGTTTTAGGGCGCCTGGACCTATTGTATCACGCTGCTGGGGTAGTGGTAGGGGATGGAACCGTCGCTGAAGTTGCTTTGGTCACTTGAACCTTGGCTCCCTAGTCGGTGAGAGAGGGGAAGCTTCTTGTCCTGGGCAGTCCCCTTCCTTCCTTGCGCGACAGGGTGGCCGCCCTTGGGCTTGAGCGAGCGTCACTTTTTTTGCCCCTCTCCTAGGTGGGCACCAACGGCATCATCTCCACCCAGGACTTCCCCAGGGAGACTCAGTATGTGGACGACGATTTCCCCACAGACTTCCCAGCCATCGCCCCCTTCCTGGCCGACATCGACACGAGCCACGGCAGGGGCCGGGTCCTGTACCGCGAGGACACCTCCCTGCCAGTGCTGGGCCTGGCCGCCCGCTATGTGCGCGCAGGCTTCCCGCGCTCCGCCGCGCGCTTCACCCCCACCCACGTCTTCCTGGCCACCTGGGAGCAGGTGGGCGCCTATGAGGAGGTCACACGAGGGGCGGAGCCCTCGGGGGAGGTAAGTGACCAGGGATGCTTGACCAACGAACGAACTGAGGGATGGGCTTGAATTCTGGGCAGAAACCCAGGGACTGGTTCGGAATTTCTTCTGAGTCTGCTCTTGCGCTGAACCTTATGTATCATTTGGTGGCACCAGGGCTGAAGCGGTTTGGAAGTGAAGAAGGCTATTGTCTCTAGACATCTTCTGAGGCTCTGACAGGTGGTCTCTCTATTGAGAACAACTGCTTAGGGGATATGAGACCCCAAGTACAGATGGAGTACAGATATGAGACCCCGAGTACTGTGGAAACTCCTTGGAACATAAGCCAATTTACTGTTTGGTTGCTTATTTTAAAAATCATCTCTAAGTATACTAGTATTTCTAACTGTATATTCATCAAAGCAAAAGTCAGAAAATACGGGGAATTTAAAAAAGAACAACCACTCATTTCCCTGCCACTGTTAAACATTTTCTTGTATGTGCTTTCCAGAATTTTTTCTTATGCATATCTCTATTGCTGTTAACAATGATGGATTCACCATGCACATACTGTTGTATAACTTGCCTTTGTTTTTTTTTACTGAATAGTGTATTGTGAATGTTTCATTGTCAATAAATATATTTCTACAACAGCATTTGTAATGACTGTATATTTGTAATGACTGTATCTAGTGGACTACCGCAGTTTACTAAACCAGTGTTCCCAGTGGTCATTAAGGTTATTTCCAACTTTTCATTATTATAAATAAAAGCATGAAGCACTCTTTAAAAAGTTAAATCTTTGCACATGTTCTTAGTTGATATTCCAGGAATTGCAATTGGTAGGCCAAGCTACCAATTGGTAACTTTTGCCTAATTGCCTTCCAGGCACCAGTTTACTGTTCCTTAGTTTGCAGGAGACTGTCCTGGATGTGTTTTACACTCTCTGACTGGAGAAAGTAAAAGAACCCAGGCCCCCAGTCTTTAGTCTTGTCATCAACTCTTGCAGTACTCCAAATGGGCATCGGCTGGGGCCGGGTTGGCTTGGTAAGTGAAGAAATGCCTCATTCCTAGAGTAGGGAAGGGCTTCCTTCTATGAATTGAGATTTGAATCTAAAATGTCATACTCCATGGCTGAAACTGTGTGATTTATCTCAATGTTAACTCTTCAGAGTGTTTCTTAACTCTAGAAAGTTAGCGCATATCCCCTCCAAGAGGTTAAGTTGCTTGCCCGTTGTCACTGATCTCTATCTTGTAAGGATGCAATGATACAAGTCCTTTGCATAACGACTGTTTAAATGCAAGGTTTCCTGAATTACCTTTGTCTGGGCCTTTCTTGAGCAGGGAGAGTTAGGATAGAGAAAGATTTGTGGATTCCATTTCTCTTTTGCTTTTCTAATTAAAATCTTTCCTCAGTCATATGCTAAGTTGGCTTCAGAATCTGTTTCATTTAGAAAGGAAAGGAGGATTCTGTTTGGATAGGGGATGTTTTTTCAATTACCCACGTTGAAGGTTCTTCTGAATATTTTAAAGAGTTCTGGGACTTGAGTTCTTGTTTTAATAGTTCTTTGGAGATAGATTTTGGCAAGCAGTAATCTACTTTGCTTGAAGGACTGTGTGAGCACTACATGGCTTTCTTAAATCTTGGCATACTAACCTTATATTGCAAAGTTACTGGAAACTGGAAGATATCAGAGGAATGGTATCTTTACCATTTAAAACAGTTTTAGTCAGTGCCCTTTCTGTCCATGAATATGTGTGTTGGGTGTGACAGGATGTTGTACCTGATATCACAGGAATGTCAAGGTATAATGGCATCTGAAAAAATGTGAACAAATAGTGTTTATCAATTTAAGTAATCTGAGATTTCTTGAACTGTCATAGGCACTTCATAAAACAGAGACATCAAGGTGTTGACCTTTGAAATACTGATTGAAGACATAAAGAGAACTAGTGTTTACTTTAGCTGTATCTTTTTGGAGGGAGAAGGACTATTTTGTTGTCATTTTAGGGATGGAGATTATAGAGGACTAGGTTACACATATCTGAGTATTGTGGAGAATGTTTTGTTGGTCTGGACTTTAAGTTGGGTGGAAAGTGCTGAAAGAATGGACATTAAGAATGAGGAGAAGATACCTGCTGACTTTCTTCAGGAAAAAAAAAATTAAAAAGAAAAAAGAATGAGGAGAAGAGATTGTTCTGAGCTAGGGCATGTCCTGGGAGAAGGTTGAGTGAGCTGGGGCCGGAGAAATGACTAAAGGAGTCATGGGGCAGTGACATAAGACAGACGAATGGAAGGTTGCCCCCTATGGTTTGAATGTTTGTCCTCTCTGACATTCATGTTGAAACTTAATCCCCAATGTGGTGGTATTGAGAGGTAGGAACTTTAAAGGTGATTGATTCATGAGGGCTTTGTGCTCATGAATGGATTAATCCATTCATGGAGAAATGGCCTGTCATGGGAGTTGGGACTGGTGGCTTTATAAGAAGAGGGAGAGAGAACTGAGATATCACGTTCAGCCCTCTCATCTTGTGATGCCCTGAGTGCCTCTGGGACTCTGCAGAGAGTTCCCCCCCCCCAACAAGAAGGCCCTCACCAGATGCAACCCCTTGATGTTGGACTTCTCAGCCTCCATAACTGTAAGCAATAAATTCCTTTTCTTTATGAATTACCAAGTTTCAGGTATTCTGTCATAAGCAAAAGAAAACAGACTAAGACATTACTCAATGAAGGCCTTAACATGGGGACTACAGCATGTTAACTTGGTTCAAAGAATGATAGTCATTGATGCAGGTGGTTGGAGTCCACTGAGAAATGAGAAGTAGAAGCAGGACTTTGTTGTAGCTTTTTGTCATGTGGAGCTAAGGTCGGGAAGAGTAGAGGTTTACAGTCTATCTGAGAGAGTTTGACCTGAGTCTGAGATACAACTGTGAAGGACAGAGAGAATAGAGACATCTATGGAAATTGGTTGAAGAAATGCTGAAGTTTTGCTGAAGACTAAGAGTCAGGAAGAATATAATATTAAGTATGTGATAGCACCGAGCAATTATCTTTGAATTTTTGGCAGGATCTGTAGGATTTGGTGCAGAAAAATAAATTAGGGAAGATCATGCATGTGAAAGTGTCCTATAGGCAATGGGAGGTGAAGAATTATCGGAGGAGGTCAGTTTTCACACCAAAACACTGGAGGCCCAAAGTCAATGATCCAACTCCAGAGGGCATGTGGCCCTAAGGAAGACAGGAAAGAGAACTTTGCAATCCCTGTAGGAGTCACCCTAGTTCTTACTTTTCATTTTAATTTTGGTGTGCCTCTATAGGCAAGCCCCTTGGGGAGAGGGATGGCACTATTCTGATTTTTTTGCCAGATGGATGCAGTTAACTAAGTGAATTGCAAAAATTAGAAACTCTTAGAAGGGCATGTGTTATATGCATCAGCCTGGCTCTGCTGAGTGTCAAATCAACATCCATTGGTAATGTCCCCATACCTGAAGGAACAGTCAGACTCCTGCCTGGGTTTCTGCTGAGGGTTCTGGCTTTTCTCTTTCTGATAACAGGATGGCAGAAACCTTGAAGCTGCAGCCACTGGTAGTGATCCTCTCTGTGCTGCTCCTCTCCTTGCGGAGGCCCCACTCTCCTCTCTGGGGTCCTGGGGGCGCTGGGAACCAGTGACCCTTTTGTGGGGCTTGGCAGCCCATCTGAGGGTTTCCCTTCATAGACAGAGCCTGTGGGGCTCTTGCAGAGGCTTGTATCTAGGAATGCGAGGACCTTTCCTGTTTGGAAGCCAGTCAAGGAGTGCTTTGAGAGGAGGAGCCCTTCAGGACCTCATGAAGTGGGCTCTTTAGCAATTAGATGTAGAATTTTGTAGAACAGACAGAGAACTTTACAAGTGATCATTTGGTGTGTGGGTGGCTTTTAAACAGCCCAACTCTTTTGGAGTTGGGATTGTAAATTCTACTTAAAAGGAAATTGTTTTCTTCCTCTGATATTGGCCTATTTCAGTGGAGACAAGGAAATTAAATACTCACCACCTATAATAAGTGTTTGTGTCAGAGATGGCATATAGAAGACACTGAATAAATTTTAATTGAAATGAATTTGTTGGCTGAATGAACGAATAAAATAAAATGCTAAATACCCAGGCTGCACTGCAAAAAGCCAGACTTTTTCCCTTCACAGCTCTGTTTACTTCTCTCTCCTCCCACTTCCCCCATTCCATTTAATTCTTCACAATCTATACAACCTCCTTATCTTACAGAATTTCTCTAAACTTAGAACCAGGATTTTCTGCTGTCTTGCATTTATTGCGGGTGATCAATGCCAGGAGCTTTGAAAGCTTAGCTTTTTAAAACAAGGTTCTGCCACATTGCTCAAGTACTTTTCTTTCCCAAGTTGATCTTTATTTATGCTGACTCAAGCAAAACTCTGAAGTTAGTGAGTCCACATTAATTGATGATGTAGAATATCTTATGTACAGACATGATGCAGAACAGCCTTTGTTTACATTGGCAGCAGTTAAGGCTTTTTAGCTTTGAGAAATTCTAGAAAACAGTCTTTGCCTTTTGTTTTTGAAAAAGTCAAGCTTTGCTGATGAGACAATCAACAACCAGAACATTAACAAATATGCTAGACCACTGTCTATTACTTTGTGAACTGAATGAATGAATGAAACAAAACAAGATGACTTTTGTATGTTAGAGAGCTAGAAGAAAGATTTATTGTATTTTGTTTTATCTTGAAAAGCATGTTAACACCTACATTTCTTTTACCTATCAGCAAAACCTCAAAACCATACTTTGGAATTAAACATTGAAAAGAAAAATTAACATTGGAAAAGAGGTGGAACAACTTCTGGAGGTAGAGGTCTTAGAACAGAGCTAAAGGAAGTGAACATTCCTTCCTTGCTGTTTTATTTAGCAAAATGTAACATTCTTCTCTGTGCCTAATTTTGTCTGTCTAGAAAAATGGGGAGGTAATACTATAATACTTATCAAATAGTGTTTCTAAGAGTCACATTATGTATGAAGTTAGTAGCATTTTAAAAATACCTCCCCAGTTCCTTAGTAAATTGTAAAAGGAGTGTGATATAGTGAGAAAGGTAGTCTAAGAGTCCTAAATATAACATCTTTTTGAGATACACAAGCACCATTAACAAATCTTTTGGGGGGTTGGAGAGCAGATAGATACCTGGATGAAAGAAAAGGCAAAAATCTGTCTTGTTGAAAATGCAAATGTAAGTGGAATGTTAAAGAGTGATCCTAGAAAAACCTGGGTGTGGAGTGTGTGGCTAATTCAGGCTCCGGGTCTGTCTCTGGTCTGCCTTGGCTCCTGCAGTGTTTATAACATTCACAGGCCGCCTCCGTGACGCCTCCGCACCCCCACCTGAGGCCTAGGGCACACAGTCTCCTCTGTGGCCTCCACTACCTTCTCCAATAACTCTCTTACAATTTCAGCCAAAGCTGTTCCCCTCTCCTAAAGTGTGAGACTGTCCTGAGCACCATCTCTTTGCCCTTTGCTTCTTTCTGTCTTCAGCATTCAGCATAATGTCTAGCGCTTAGCAGGCACTTGGCTGCTTGAATGAATGTACACATGAATGAATGAACGGAGTTTACATATATGTAAACCCCTAACCGAGCAAAATAAGGTAAATGCTAACTAGAGATACCAAGGTGTTATGGAGGGTCAGAGAACAAAAATAATTTTACAGGGAATCTAAAACGCCTCTGAGTGGCAGCATTGGAAGACTATGAGGATTTCTAGGAACAGGGAAACATGAGCAAAGTGTAGCAGCAGCACAGACATGGTGCTAGTGGGGACTGTTAAATAGTCTATGAAGATGCAATGGGACCGAGCCCAGGAGGGAGTTTGGAGCCAGGTTACAAACCATGGGCATGCTGAGGAGTGGTTAGAATGGCCGAGTGGTGCAGGGCTTGGACTCTGGAGCTGGCTGCCTGGCACCGCGAACTTGTTACCTGACCCTATGTAGACCTGTGAGCCGCTGTGTCTCCCTTTCCTCGGCTGTGAAATGTCTGCTGCTGGTGTGGAAGGGTAATGGACTAGAAAAGAGAGTGAGGCTGTGAGAACAGTAAGGAGGCTGGACACAGGGCCTTCCCATAATGGGCATTTCATAAACTGATGAATGAATGAATGAATGAATGATCCAGATGAGAGCTGCTGAGTGCCTCGGCTTGTAAACCAGGGCAGTGACTATGGGAATGGACAAGTTTATTTTGCTACTTGTTCTTAGCCCTGAAAGAGATTTGGATGAGAGAAGTTTGAAACCTGCAAAAATATTTTTATTTTTTTAGCCTATGTTTTACCTATGCATATTTAAACTATTAATCTAAAATTGATAAAAGATGATTTTAATAATAAGTAGTATTGCTTATAAAATTGTATTTGTAACTTGAAGAGGAAATTTTAAAGAAATGCAATGTTTAAAGACAATTTGGAAAAGTCCTGGGAATGGGGAAATCCTTTGCACTTTATGATGTTTTGGTTACATTCTGGTTATTTTCTTCTTTTGTTTGTTTTTTTTAAGGATGTTTCCAATTTTTTTTCCCCCACAGCTGAACACTTTCCAGGCAGTTTTGGCGTCTGATGGGTCTGATACCTACGCCCTCTTTCTTTATCCTGCCGATGGCCTTCAGTTCTTTGGAACACGCCCCAAGGAGTCTTACAACGTGCAGCTCCAGCTGCCAGCTCGGGTGGGCTTCTGCCGAGGGGAGGCTGATGACCTGAAGAGAGAAGGACCGTATTTCAGCTTGACCAGCACTGAACAGTCTGTGAAAAATCTCTACCAGTGAGTAACACGGAGCTGAGGCCCTTTCCTGTTTGCATATAAGAACTTTTAGGAGGTCCTCTAAAAGTGACCATAAGACCATTAAGATGATACCTTGGTGACTTCCAAGCAAGGCATCAGGTCAAAACCAGGAACTAGTTTATACCATGGTAGGATTAAGTTCACCAAAATATGAAAGGTTGTTTATTTGTCCTTCCCTATTGAGTATAGATACTGGAAACAGAACTCTGTGTGTGTGTGCGTGCGTGTGTGTGTGTGTGTGCGTGCGTGTGTGTGTGTGTGTGTGTGTGTGCGCGCGTATTTGGGGAGCCACTGAGGCTTGCTATGAAAAACATTGCTCTTGGAGCCACATAAAAATATCTGGTAATATAACTGCCTGAATTGAGGTTTGCCAGATTAATCATTTCTCAGAGGAGACATTGTGATTTAGTCTTTTGGACAGACACTGTTAAAAATTAAATTGAGTAATGTAATTTAGAAAAAAATAAATAAAACGGGTTGGTAGGTTTTCAGAAGTCTCAGGATTTCTCTCTGACTTCATTACCCGCAATGCCTTGAACCCATTCCTTAGTCCCATCAGTGACTTACTCTGCTAGTGCAATAACAAGCCTTGTCACATTTTGTCAGTCCAGATAGTCCACTAGGGTGCTTGTTGAATTCAGAGTTTTGGGGGATTTTTTTTTTTTGGTCCTTGCTTTTATTCCTTCCCTGAATCCCAGAAGCCAGCCAGAGCATGTGGTTTACTTCCTGGCCTCCCTTAACTGCTTCTCAGTTTCATTAAATCATCCCTGGGTGTAGGAATACCTTACAGTTTTGCATGACACCTGCTTTGTTCTACTCACTACCAGAAAGAGGGCACTAGCGCCAGGTATAGTTACTCAGAGATGACATTTATGGAGTGCTTACTATTTGCCAGACATTGTGCTAAACATTTGCCAGTTGTTATCTTAATTAAAGCTCAAGAATTGTAGGAGGCAAGTACTACTATTTTCTCGAGTTTACAAAGGAGCCTGTGATCTCAAAGTTAAGTGACAAAGCCAAAATCCAAGCCCAAGTCTGGAGCTCTGAACTACTTCTTTTATGCTGAGTCCCTGTTGGTCTTTCCTCTAGGCTGCCGCTTAGTTTAGACTCTGGAGCAAACTCAGCTCCTTGCTCCTTCTCTGGTTCCACCCTCCTCTTCTATGTGGGAGTGCGCAGATTCTCTGCTCCTCCGGCATTATAGAGAGTGCTCAGCAAGCCAAGCACTTGAACTACAAAGATACCCAAGGCATAGGCCCTGCACACTAGCACCTTGTACCCTACTAGGCTAGACAGACAGACAAACTATAGAGCACTGGAGTAAGTGATGTCTGCACAGGGTCCAGGAGGCAGAAGGGATCAAAAAGCCTGTAGGAAGAAGCAGCTTTGTTCTCCCACCAGAGCCATAAAGACCACTTAGAACACCCACACGCACACCACACACACACACACACACACACACACACACACACACACACACAGCACTTCCATTTACTCCTTTGTGCCTTTCCTTATTTTCATCTTTGATGCTTCCCAGAAACCTCTGATTTGCTTGGTGAGAGCAGAGTAAGATATGAGGCCAAATGACTGACAGATTTTTCTTTAGTGTAATCCATGCTTAATATAAAATAAAGTATAAGCAATGCAGAATAATGTGAAATAAAAGTAAAAATTACTCACTTCAGGCGATAATTAGTGTTAATAGTCTTTTCCAGAATTTTAGGTATATGAAAAAACTTTTTTAAACTAAAATGGTTCTTTTGTTATACATGTGGCATTTTCATATTTTTCACTATCTTTAGGGATCTTTCAGTCAGATATCTGTCTATATTATCATTTTAAGGCCATAAAACATTATATATGTTCTATATTATAAATATGACTTAAACATTTAACATGTTTCTTATTTTTCTTGTTATAAATATCTTTGCAGTAAACAACATAATACACATTGCTCACATGCTCATTTCTCCTTTAAATTCTTAAAAGTGGAATTGTTGAGAATAGATATATGCAGTTAAATGTTTTGATATATATTAAAAAGTTCCTTCAGAAATGTGTCACCAAATTATATTCTCGCCAATAATCAAGAGCTTGATTGGCAGAGTCTATTTCCTACAGGCTTTTGTTCTTTTTAATGTTTGCAAATCTGATCATATAAAATGTTCATATTTTCACTCTAATGTCTTTCATACTAGCAGAACTGAACACCTTTTCATATCTTTAATGTCCATTTACAGTCATTTGCCATGTAATGACATTTTTGGTCAATGGCAAATGATATATATGACAGTGATCCCATAAGATTATAATACCATATTTTTATTGTACCTTTTCTGTGTTTAGATATGTTTAGATACACAAATACTTACCATTGTGTTATAGTTGCCTACAGTGTTCAGTACAGTAATATGCTGTACAGGTTTGTAGCCTAGGAGTGATAGGCTATACCATATAGCTTAGGTGTATAGTGGGATATACCATATAGGTTTGTGTAAGTACACTTTATGGTGTTCATACAATGATGAAATTAACTAACAATGCATTTCTCAGAATGTATCCTCATTGTTAGCTGACACATGATTATATATATCTTTTTTTTTTGGTGGTGACTTGTTTGTTCTTATCCTTTTCTATTGCGGTGTTTAGAAAGAGCTCTCATAAATAAGAAAAAGTATAGCAAGGATAGTAAGCTTCTTGTGTTGTGAATATTTTATCCAGGCATTGTTTGTCTTTGAACTTACTTATGATTTATAAGTTGTAAGTTTTGGGTTATCAAAGTTATTGGTCTTTTCTTTTATGATTTTGGGTCTTGGTGTTAGTCTTAGAAAGACCTTCTGTATTTCTAAATTATAGCAATGTCTCTCTATATAATCCTTTTGTTTACTTTTCATTATTAAAATTTTCAAAAATATGCAGAAAAGTGGAGAGTCTAGCTAAATGAACACCCAAATACTCATCATTTAGATTAATATATTATGAACATTTTGCCAGATTCATCTTTTTGTTTAAATGTTTTAAAGTCACAAACATCATGCCAGTTCATTCCTAAATAGTTTGGTCTGTATCTCTAAAAAGTAATTTTCTTAGTCAATGGAATCTTTCTCTTCCTCACACTTGCCTCATAGTTGTAAGCTCAAAGGTCATAAATTCTATAATTCATAATGTTTGTCATATTCTTCTTCTGAAAATTTAAATATGAATGCACATAGGTGCATTTTTGAAATTATACTCTTCTATTTGCTGAACAAGACAGTAGTTACTAAGTATGTATTATGTGCAGGGCCCCTGGTAGGTATTTCATGTTGTTTTTTCACTTAATTCTCCTAACAACCCAGGGAAGAAGACAGTGTCATCCCGTTTTATAGCCCAGCTTTTCTTTCTAGGAAATAAAGTTCTTTCTATCACTAAGCTTTCCAAATGACCTTGGATTTTAAAATGAACTCAAATTGGTTACTTTCCTATCATGCATAATGACAAAAGCCAGGATAGTGATTTATATCTAATTAGAAGGTTATTTTATTTAGCTTTTATATGCCATAATTTGTATTCTCCTGTTCTTTGAAGCTTTTATAGTTTTCTGTATCTAACTTCAAGAATAAATGTCACAGCTGCAGTACCTCCAATGTGATGATAAACTCAATAGCCTCAGATCTTCAGGATTTTCTCTTCTTTGGTTTTTCTTATTTGCTTGCTGATAAACACCAACATTAATTCTTTTGTACTTACCAAATATACATAGCACATTGCACACAAGATCACAGTTATGCTTTACACACACACACACACACACACACACACACACGAGGAAGATATTCTGGAATTGTGTTGAAAAATATTATTACTATAGAAATCCACATGAACAGGATGAATACCTACCCAAAGGAGGAAAGGCCTTTTGTTCTTGTACAATTCAATACATTTCTTATTATCTTATTAGTCATTAACTCTTACTCATCATTGACTAATTTTTGAGGAAATTCCATGGTGTGGGAGAATTTGCACATAGTATTTTATACAAACATCAGAGGAGTACAAAAACTGCTGTATTTAAGCTAGCCACCTTTGTTTGCTCAAGATTTCCCATATTTTTAGAATATGCAGTTGTTCCCTAAAGGATGTAGTTGTCCTCTTTAGGACAATGTCTCATTGACTAAAATAATGGATTATTGGGATATTTGAAAGACTGAATAGAGTCTCTGTTCTTTTCTCATGGAGAAAATGAGTGAGCTGTTTCCAGATGTTTCTGGAAAGACCTCTCACCTATGATCCTTTATATTTTGATTAAGCTACTTTTTAAATTTTCCCCTAAACTTTGTTTTGCATTTGCTCACATTTTTTTTTAGACTTGGGCATTTATATTTCTTTGAATTTTTTTATATTGACTCACCATTCTATGTAGATTAATTAATGGATTAGTCCATGTGAATAAACAGTGAAATGTCTTTAACATTCCATAAAGTAATGATAATTCAGATGCTGATTGACTGTAGTATATGGGATTCATTTTCTGACATAATGTAATGTAGATGTTTAGAGCATGGGCTTTGGTGTTAGCACTGAATTCAGGCCCAGGCTCTGCCAATTATTAATATTAGTTATGTGATCTTAAGAAGATTAGTCAACCTCTCTAAACCTCTTTTCTCCTCTGTAAAATTGAGCACAATCACCACCCCTACCTTGCAGATTGTATTGAAGAATGTTCAGCACTTGTCACAGGCTGGCACATAACCAGCTTTCAAAAGCGTGAGTAGTCGTTACTGTTTCTGTATTTGGCAAAGATTTTTAAGCATAGGTTTCCTTGAGTCTGTTACAAGTTTCCAGACAAGTAGAGGAAAAATTCCCACATTCCTTACATGTTTTCAAATAGCCAGATTTTAGATAAACCATTTGGATTGTAGAGCAGATTGATAACTTGATGGTCTGGCATTCTATGGCACACCACCTTTGAAGCATATTGTTAAATAAAAGGTAGTCTACATCACAAGTCCACGATGGTCCTTTTAGTTACCATGTAAGCCTGCTTCTATTTGGTTTTATACACCAGTGCAAACTCTGAGTCAACTCCTAACAGTCTTTTGGTTTTAAAATAAATTGCTCACCTTTGTAGGAAGGTGGGTGAGTGGGCACTTTTGTTACAATGGACTGTTTCCTTTTTATTTAGACTAAGCAACCTGGGCATCCCTGGAGTGTGGGCTTTCCATATTGGCAGCACCTCCCCACTGGATAATGTCAAGCCAGCAACAGCTGGAGGAGAACTTTCCACTGCCCACTCTTCGGCTCCCTTGGAGCCTTCCTTCAGCCAAGCTGCAGCCCTAGAGAGGGACTACACTGAGGACAACTTGGATTATTATGATGAGAATGAAGAGGAAGTGGAATACCCGCCGAGTGAGCCAGAGGAGGCATCCAACAGCCACAGCAGCATCCATGTTGCCCTCCACCCAGAAGCTGACTCGGAGCCTGTAGGAGGTGGGATCTCCCCTCCACAGTCTGCCCTGGCCTCCCCTCCACCATACCCAACACCTAGTTCTTGGCCACTCTACCCTGAAACAGAACCTGCCACCTTGGACCCTCAAACCAAAGAGGGGGCATCTTTGGAGGAAGTAGAGGCCCCCAGTTTAAAAGTTGAGTCTCCAGACCAGACAGGGACCAGAAACCAGGCTCCACCAGAGGTGGATGGAGAATCACTGGCTCCTTCCTGGGGGGCCCCACCACCCCACCCTGGAAATAGAAGCATCCAGCCCCACCCAGGTGAAGCGGCGGTGCCTTCAGAAAGGGATGTTCCTCCAGCCCATCCTGAAGGAGAAGTTGTTCTTCCAAATTACCCTGTGCTGGCTCACATTCCACCCCTGAGTCGAGGGACGTATGTAGTAGGAGTGGAAGATGACATCGGTTCCAACACCCAGGGTAAGTGTGTTAGAAAGCTGGGTGCTGAGGTTTCATTTTAACAGTGTTTATTTGGCATAGAGTTGTGATTTTTCTCTTTAAGTGAGTAGGTGAAAAGTTTAGCAAAGAGAAGATTGGAACTGATTTTTAATCCCTGTGTTTCAGGAGATAGAGTAAATTTCCTTTGCCAAATAAATCTTGGCAGGCGGATTCTGTTTAGGAGCCCTTGGATCATTAATAATGTTTTTTAAAAAAATAGGCCTCATGAAGTGAGTGGGGAAGAACTGGGTTTCTTATGCCAGGCACGCTCTCAATCGTAATGAGGTATTTCAGTTTGAAAGTTCAGCAAAGGTAAAATATGTTGAGGCTTCATACACATTCCAGTGGCAGAGGGCTCACTGCTTTCATTTTAGGTATTGAGTTGTGCTGGCTCAGATGAACATGCCAGATTCATACTTCGTTACGGGCCAACCCTCACTCTCCCTTTGCTTAGGAAGAGACACTTGCGGTGTGTGGGAGAGGAGAGCCCACGGGGAGAGAAAATGACTAAACACCTGTGTCTGTTGTCATTCCTGGTTCATGGCTGTGCAGCTGCGGCATGCAGCTCCCTGGAGCCTTGTCCTCATTTCATGACTCACTGACCAGAGGGAGAGGCGAGGAGGGAGCTGCCGAGAGCAGAGTGTTGAGCAACACAGACACGGAGCCCCCCGTGCCCTCTCTTCCCGGGAGAGACTTGTCACGCCAGCTCTTTCTTCCCAGCCAGGGATGGAAAGACATGAATGGGAAACTGACCACAGATTCATTCCATTTGTTCCAAGGACTGCTCCTCTGACCTCTAACGGTAGGAAAGAGGTCAGAGGTGCCAGCTTTCTTCTGAACCTAAATTTTTTTCTACCTTTTCTGTTTCCTATCCCTGTTATGGCAAAAACACGCTGACCTAGCAAAGAGGAACTTCTGCTGTGATGTGGAGCTGCAGGATATTGCACTTTTGCAGGAGGGAAAGACAATATTTTGTGCTAATGTGGCACCGTGCAAGGATTAGAGGGGGAGCTTGGTGTCAGACCTGAGCTTGAATCCTGGCTGCCACACTCCCCGGGTGACCTGAGGCAACTCATGGAACCACCAAGCCTCGGATTGCTCATGAATTTGTTGGGAGGATTAAACTAGATAATGTATGTGAAATTCTTAGTGTCTTCACTAATTGGTTTTTAACACATGGTAGCTGCTGTTAATTGTGGAAGATTTGAAACTGTAGGAATGGGGCAGAGGATGGGTAGAGAGTGAAGAATGTGCGAATTAAGGAATTTTGCCTTAATTTGTGCCTAAGGGGCCACATTCCATAAAGTTGAAGATGTGAATTTTCTTGGGAGTCTTAAGAACCTTCAGATCCTTCTGATAATCTTCCGAATTTCCAGTGTGAGTTCTCTGTATCTAAAGAAACCTTAAAGCCAAGTATCAAAGATTTTCACAAAAGGGATTTTTGTGAGGTAAAGATGCATTTCTGAACAGCCTTTTCATTTGTGAGTTGTGGTTTCCTGCCCTGGGAAGAGCTTGGGGATATTAAAAGGCAGATCCACGGAGCCCACTAGCAAAGAGTTAAGAAGGGGCCGCATGCCCTGTCAGGCCGCGAGAGGCTGAGCTCTCTGGAGCGGCGGTGCGGGAGGCTTGGGGAGCTGGCCGCAGAGAACAGCAGGCTGCAGCCATGACCCATGTGGGGCATGAACTGTGATATTTATCTGCTGTTGGATGGAGTCTACTACTGACGTTTTGGAAATGGCAAAATGCCTGTGAAAAAGCTGGTTAATACACCGAGACATTTAGGAGGAAAAAAATCTAACTAGAAGTTTTTGAACCTTGGAGGAAAAACACCCTATCTTTTTCTAAAAAAGGGCTTTAGGGAGATGTGTGAAGTAGAGAAGCATGCAATTGTTAAATACTTTGGGGGGAGGGCAGTGGCCATTTTTTCCGAATGAAACACTGGAGCCCCAGAGGCCCATTAGGCAAGCGTGGGCTCACTGTGGGAAGCGGGTGGAGTGGGCATGGCAGAGACTCCCACAGCTCATTGCCTGGTGCCAAGTACCCAGGCAGGGGCCATCTGCCTGGCTTTTTCTATTAGTGCAGTAGAAAGTGCATGGCTTTGGTGCTAGGTGGACTTGAGATTGAGTCCCAGCTCTGCTATGTTGTTTGGGGCAAGCCATATACCCTGTTTGACCCTTGCTTTCCTCAGCTATGAAATGAGGTAATGCAAACCTCATTATGTGCATGTGAGAATTGGTATATTGGGCATGGGAATAATACATTTTATTATACTTTCCCTTTTAAGCTTCATATTAGGCATCTTGCTAAAACCATGAAATTAAGATTTAGTGTAAAGACCAGAAAATATTTTTCCTCTTACTCTTTTTTCTCTTTAGGGACTCTTTTTTTCAGACTTTTTTTGTTCAGAAACCTAGATTCTTAGCTGAGCACAGTGTCTCACACCTACAATCCCAGCTACTAGGGAGGCTGACGTGGGAGGATTGCTTGAACTCAGGAATTGGAAACTAGTTTGGCCAACATAGCAAGACCCCATCTCTAAAAAAAATAAATAAGCAAATCTTGATTTTTTTCAGATTATGTCTATACCAGGTGGGAATGTCCAAGTCATACCCTCGTTCTGTTTTCATAGATCACAGAACTGGCAATACCTGGATGTGTGAGTATCCTGTGTCTGGGGAGTCTTGTTCTTCCAGAGAGCACAGTTTTGTTATTAAGCCAAAAAGTTACCCGAGCACCTGCCACGTACCCTTCTCTGAACTAGATGCTAGTGGGAGTTATTGCTAGCTTTTACTGAGCACTCCTTGCTAAGTGGGAACTTGGCTTTAGATTACGTCATCAGTCCTCAGAATTTCCCATGAGGCAGATGCTATTATCCTCCCCATTCTACAGAGACAGAACTGAAGCCTGGAAATACGTACTGACTTGCCCCTGAAGAGGAAGACCAAGACTGCAGCAAAGCCATGAAGGGCTTAGAGAAAGCTGTAAGGCAACAGAGAGAGCCAGGGGCACTCTCTGAGTACAACTGTAGGGAGGGAAGTCTTTGAGAAGGAGGAGGGGTTTGAGTCAGGCCTTGGAGTCAGAGTTTGAGTTAAAACTCTGGGGAAAAGGGGAAAAGTGTGAAAGCATTCTGGACAGAGGAGTGACAACAGTGGACGTGCAGAGGTGGAAGGGGAGAGAAGGGCAGAGAGAGAGAGTAGGTTGACACAGTGCCTGGGACCCAGGATGGCCTGTGTTGTGAGCATCGAGGAATGAGCTTGACTGTCAGGGGTCTTAGATGTGCTAAGCTGGCTGAAGTGGTGCAAAAGCAGCTTAATTTAATCTCAATCTGCATGACGAATCAGAAAGAGGGGGACACCTGGCTTTCAGAAACCTCCTGTAGTCCAGTCTTGGCAAAAGCTGCAGGAATGTGTTGCCCACTTGACTTCCACCCTGGAACGAACACAAATAGGCCCTGCTGCCCAATCCAGTCTGCCAGGCACAAAAGCCGTCTCCTGGGTGCACTTCCAGGCTGCGGAGGGTCTGCGGATGAACTGGGAGGGACCCCCTGTACCTGTGAAGACTCCAGCCTGGAAAGATCCCTGGTAGGGGCCTGTTCCCTCCCAAGAAGTGGAGAGAGCCTGTCAGTGTCGTGACAGCCAACCCAAGGTCCTGATCACCGTGCTCCACCCCCCACATCAAAATTAAACATGAAAACCGGAGGGAAAAGCATACCACTGTTTTTCATTATAAGGTTGGATGTGGTTCTTCTCACTAGTCAATCATTCTGTGGGGTGAGGAAACTTAGAAAAAGCTGTCCTGCAGTGAAAATATCAGTTCTCTTTCTTGAGGTGGCAGTAAAAGTTGTTAAGAGTAAAAGCCGCGCCAGCTGCCGCGGGTCAGCCCCGTGCGTGAAGCCCTCTCGTGGGCACAGTGAACGTGGCCGTGGGGCCGCCCATGTCGCTGGGCTGGAGTCCCCAGTGGAGGAGGGCAGGCGGCCAAGGGCTGCACACAAGTGCGTTCGTGCTTCTGGGAAAATGAAGATTGAAGGATGGGTCGGAACAAGTGCAGAGGAGAATTTTCCATTTTTGTTAGAAACTCCCAACTAGGACAAGTCTCCAGTACTTTGGCAGTGCCCTTGTTTCTCTCTCCTATGCATTCCCACCCCATTTTTCTTTCTGGATAGAAAG